GATGGAACATGGCGAACTGCGCAGGAGGCTTCAGTTAGTGTGGGTTGTGCATTGAGCTGGATGGCAGCCGGCTTCAAAACCGAGGCACGCCGGCAAGCCCGGAGAGCAAGTGGACGGACAGGTAAGTACGGGTGGTCTCGAAGGACGGCGAGGACCCTAGGAAGGCTCACGGACATTATTGTAACCCCTGGGCACAATGGACGCAGAAGCTGTTGGAGAAAGCCAGCTATACAGATGAGTTGGCCGGTGCATTGTTTTTTCTTAAATGGGGAGGAAGGCACGGTACCGCTGTGAACTCCCCTGCCTTAGCAGGGCAGGTAGATGCTGTTTGTGGCCTCTTCTTGCTGCCATCTTTGATAGCAGCTGCTAGGGGGGTGGTGTGCGTCTTTGAGTTGGCAGAGTTTTGTACATTAATTATGTGTAGGTGTGGCTATTTTGTAAATAATTTGTATGTATTAAAGGAGTATTCAGCCAAAACACCAAATTGGCTTGCTGTGTGATAAACCTGTCGGGTGCTTTCCACGTCAAGAAAATGCATTTCATTTTGTAGTCATTATTTTTCCTTTTTCAGCTTTTCCCTTTGTGTTTGGGGAGCTGCAATGGTTGATGCTTTGTCAGAGTGTGCTGCACATGCATTTGTGAAATAAAGTGTGAGCACTGAAGAGCTCAAGTAAAAATCCGGGAGTAAAATTTAACTATTGTTTTAGAACCAGTAGAGGGAGCACCACGTTCTTTTTAAAAAGGAAAAACATCATGGTTTGCAAAATTCTTGGGGATTTACATATAATCCACACATGCATGCTTTGTTTGAAAGTTTTACTTCTTTGAAGACTGAGGGTAGACTTGGACATTAATAGTACAGTGTGTGAATGTTTGTCATTTTTACTTTGCTGTAGTAATTGGTTTTTTAAACATTCTCTTTGAAGCCAACATGTCTCGAGAGACTGGAAGTGAAGTGCAGCAGTCTCAAGGTGCCCAACAGTCACAGAGTGGTACTGGTTCCTCTTCCAGTGGGTCACAGAGTACTAGTCAGTCTTCCTCAAGTTCTGGGACCCTCAGTTCTTTGGACACTGTTCCCACTCAGGAGCTTCCGTCGATCCCTGAGGACCAGGAATCTGAAGAGCTTGTTCCTCAGCCTTGGGGTCGACTCTTTGCACTTGGAAAAGGTTTCAGCAACTGTGGTAGGTGCATACTGTATTAAGCCTCTGGGTTCATTTGTAATACCTCAGAAAAGTTTTGAGCAGCTTCGTAGAGAGCAGTGTCTTTTAATTTTCAAATTAAGTACAAGCTTGCAACTTTTTGCAATAATGTTTTATTCCATACTACATCCTTATACTGAGTACACAGATATAGAGCTTCCATAGGCTTAGAGGAATTCTGGGGTATTCGTGTTGTTATTTGCTTAATTTTTCCATTCCATAATTTATTTTATTTATATATCATGTAAGCCTCTCTGTATTGCTGAAGGTGAACCGAATACTATTATTAGAGAGGGTAAAATTATTAAAGTATTGTACAAGGTGTTGATAGTGCATGGTGCTTTGTTGAAATTAAGACAAATAAACTTGATTGTATAGGAAGAATTTTGTCTTTGTTATTCTGCTTACTACCATTTGGCATCATTCTGTAGTGCCACAGTTAATAACTTCCTGCAATTTTGTGTTCTCTCTCTGCTTTACTTTTCCCTCCTCTACAGACTGTGTGAATGATGAATACTGGTTTGGAAGAGACAAAAGCTGTGATTATAGTTTTTCTAAGCTAGGATTATCTGAGACTGGCTTCTACCAAAACTATAGCAAGAAGCATTTCCGAATTTTCAGGGTAGGTACTAAAAAGTTTAACTGTCTTTTTCTATCTTGGCATAATTGAAAAAGATTGACTGTGGTGGGGGTGAATCCTAAAGAAATAAAATTTTAAGTAGCTTCACTATCGACTCCTTTAACGAGATTCTTGGCAATGCTCTATTAACCTGGTTTATGAAATAACCTCAGTAGTCTGACTGGGAACTGGCTGAATGGCAGAACTCAGAGGGTTGTCATCAGCGGCGCTGAGTCTAGTTGGAGGCCGGTAACTAGCAGTGTCCCCCAAGGGTCAGTACTGGGCCCAGTCTTGTTCAACTTCTTCATCAACGACCTGGATGAAGAGTTAGAGTGTATCCTCAGCAAGTTTGCTGATGACACCACACTGGCAGGTGTGGTGGTTACACCAGCAGGCTGTGCTGCCATTCAGCGAGACCTGGACAGGCTGGAAAGTTGGGCAGAGAGGAACCTGATGAGGTTCAACAAGGCAAGTGCAGGGTCCTGCACCTGGGGAGGAACAACCCCATGTATCAGTACAGGCTTGGGGCGGACCGCTAGACTTGCGTGGTGAGTCCCCGGCTGGAGTACTCTGTCCAGTTCTGGGTTCCCCACTTCAAGAAAGATGAGGAGTTACTGGAGAGAGTCCAGAGGAGGGCTATGAGGATGATGAGGGGACTGGAGCATCTCTCCTATGAGGGGAAGCTGAGGGAGCTGGGCTTGTTCAGCCTGGAGAAGAGAAGGCTGCGAGGGGACCTAATACATGCTTACAAATATCTCAAGGGCGGGTGTCAGGAGGATGGGGCCAAACTCTTTTCAGTGGTGCCCAGCGACAGGACAAGGGGCAATGGGCACAAACTGAAGCATAGGAAGTTCCACCTGAACATGAGGAAGAACTTCTTCCCTCTGAGGGTGACAGAGCACTGGAACAGGCTGCCCAGGGAGGTTGTGGAGTCTCCCTCTCTGGAGATATTCAAGACCCGCCTGGACAAGGTCCTGTGCAGCCTGCTGTAGGTGACCCTGCTTCGGCAGGAGGGTTGGACTAGATGACCCACAGAGGTCCCTTCCAACCCCTACCATTCTGTGATTCTGATTCTGTGATTTCCTGAGCCAACAATAGTAAATTTCTATAGTCTGTCATGTCTTTACAGCAAAATAATTTTTTCCCTACTGTTATCTTTCCCATTTTTTTCTTTCTCTTTGAGGAAATGGGTCCAAAAGATTCCTATGTGGCCTACATTGAAGACCACAGTGCAAATGGAACTTTTGTTAATAGAGAGCTCATTGGAAAAGGGAAGAGGCTTCCACTGACTCACAACTCTGAAATTGCGCTGTCAATACAGACTAATAAGGGTAAAATGCACTATAACATAAGTAGGTTCTTCATGTGTTGACTAAGAGGTCATTTCTGCAGTGATTTGAGTATGTTTCTTGGAAGCTGAGCTTCTTCATGAGTGCTGTTAAAATGCAGCCATGAATTGATGTTTTAATACTTGCATAAAAGTTACCTGTATCCACCTCAACGCCAGAAAAAAAAGCTGAAATAAAGAAAATTTAAAAGAAGTTTATCAGGAACCACCTTACTGGAGTATAAACTTTTATAGTTGTTTTCCTATTTTTGAAACACTTTTGTGCTTCAGTAGCTGTGTATGTGGTTGTGGGAACAAGG